AAAAAAAAAAAAATGTACAATTTGAGTGTGGGGCCTGAAGTAACCCGGATTTTTTCTGCCAGCCTCCAGGTATTGTAAGGTTTCTATAGATATTTAAGAGAATGCAGAACTCTTAAGAGATATGTACATGGTATAATAAGTACATATAATAGAATAGAGAAAATTAACACATGTTTTCAGAATTTTGTTCACGTAGTAAATAAAATGTCAGTTGTTTAGAAATGCAAACCAAAATATTAATTCCTGACTTTTTGTATAACAGGATTAGCCATTCCACTCTGTCTACCTAACAACTATAAGTGGAACAAGCATACGGGCGAGTGCATTAAAATCGGAGAAGAGCGTTCTTCGCTTTATGTTATTGAGGAAGCACTCGACCAGCTTAATACCATTAAAGGTAAGAGTCCGCATTTCTCTTATCAGGGAAGTCTGACAACAAGCTAAATTCAAGCACCAGCGATTCCCGGGCACATTTTGAATTTTGAAGATGGAAGTGGCTCAGGCCAGTTTAGACGATGGCTTAGATGATGTTTTAAAAAGTTGGAACTAACTCTGCCATGCATGATTCAATTAATGAGCTTATTTTATTCTTATGAGATACTGGACTCTAATAAGCCATTTTACAGTTGAATACTTACTTGCCTGGCCTGTGAATGCAAGCGAGGTAGGAGGTAACCTTGCTTTGATACACACATCTCTTATTTTCTCGGCACTTAAATGCCAACTAGTTAGCACAAGAACAACTTGATTTACACAGCAAAAGCAGTAAGGTCTTTATTCAAACAAGGTCACCTGCAGCCTCAGCGCCATTCAATGGCCAGGTCACTAAATTGACAACTGTGAAGTGGTCTTTTAGTGCTGATTATTAAAACAAAGCCTACAAGTAAGACCTGGTTTATAGCTAAATCGCGGTTTAGACGAGGGCTTCATAGACCACGTCTAAGCTTGGTGAGATTTGCATTATTAGTGGCCCAACTTCAATGCCTTTCTCGTCAGTTAGCAAACATTTTACGTCAACTCTGCATACAGTTTCGCCCACCTGCTGAACGCTTGTTGACTAATTAAAATTAAACAGATACCTCATCGGTATCCAAGCGTGAGAGTAAATGAGAACTGGCAATGTATAGCAATGTCTACTAGAATATGTATTATCCAACGTCTTTCTGTTCTGAAAACGATGCTTTGAACTTACATATGTAGAATAAAATAGGTGAAAGTAATTGGACCGCATGGATAACAGTTCAGGTAATCCCGCGAGTAATTTCAAAATTGGACGAGCGCGAAGCCAGAGGCCCATTTGAAATTACGAGCATGAACACTCCCTCGATTGTACGACACGAGGTCAAATTACTAATTAATCGTATTTATAGCAAGTTTCGAAATTAAAAAAGTCTTTGTAGAACTTCTTTTGAGCGGAAGAGTCAGATACGTTTTCCATAAGGTTTAAAGACTGTAGCAGTTATTACGAAGAAAGCCATTATAACGCGCGTAATTGACGGGAGAATCACGTGGCTATCCAATTACAGGTATCCAATCACAAAAAGTTGAAATTGGATACCGGTAACTGGAGACCCACGTGATCGCGGGCCGATTACGTGACAAATGGGTACGCGGGGGAATCACAATTGAGAATTTTGGTATAGATACGATTATTGTAAAAATAATTTTTGTGCACAAAAATAATGCCTGAAAATGAATCAAGACAAACACAAGAGTTGTTTTGCAGGTCCTGTATGCGTCGTGTGCGTATCTGGCCCAGCAAGGAAGGGGAAGTCTTTCGTATTGAGTGAAGCTTTTAACCAACCAAACGTTTTCCGTCTTGGACATGAATTGGATCCAGAAACCATGGGAGTCTGGTTGTGGATTGTGCCCGAGACCCGGGTATGACAGTCCACATTAACATATTCCTTTGTAGCTAACACTATTTTCTTATTTGTTTCCCTGCACTTATTTAACATTTCTTATATAGGATTCCAATGGCCAGAAATTTACAGTTGTTCTCTTGGACTCTGAAGGAGTCGGTGATCCTTCCAGTGAAGACTATGGTGATCGTCAGATCTTTACCTTAACTGTTTTGCTGGCGTCTTTATTAATATACAATTCAACAAGCGTTCCAAACAGACATGACGTAGAGCAGTTGAAGTATCCTTTACAGCTGTCCTTACAGAAAGATTTTTATTGAGGAAAATACCGTAGTTAGTTAACAAACACAGAAGTACAAGAACAATCAGAAACAAATTACACAAAGGGTGCTGTTCTTACTATATGGACAAATGTTTCCATTATCTTCCTTGCGCATTACAATTACATTTAAATAAGCAGCCACTCACATTGTGATGATCATAGGTATATGGGCTGGGGGGGGGGGAGGGGTGGGGAAGAAAGCAAAACAAAAAATTCATGCAAGGGAAAATGCCAAGAAAAAAAATTCGTGTAAAGAAGAAGGTAAAGAAAAAAGTTCATGCAGAAGGAAGGTCCAATTGTGACCTTTATTTAATATATAAAATTTGCCAGTGTCTATTAAAAAATAATTCTTATTCAAAATATTCTTGGGGCATGTAGTAGATGCCTCTACAAGAAAGCGAGATAAGATCTGCCCCTGGAAAAAATTAGATGAGTTAGCTTCCTCTTGAGGCAATCCAGAGTTAGAATTGAAATATGAGAAATCAGGTGAGTCTGTTTCTGTTCATGCCAGTGTAACAGATACAAATGATACTCTTGCCAAGATGTTGGCATCTGTAGATGAGTTTGTTTCCAAATATACTGGAGAAGGTCTTAGGAATGCTGTTGTGAATGAGCTGAAGCGGCGTTACAATGCCAAAATTAAATCAAAACATTTATTTCAAATAAAACAAATGCAAGTGCCAGAGCAGTCGAAAAGGCAAAATCATATGATGATTTTGACTGGGAAAAGTTCATCAGAACAAATGAAGTGGAAAACCTGTATGTCTCCCAGCTTGGTCTCTATTTAATGACAAATTTCAATCTTTCAAAGATGGACTAATCAATCCTATTGTGCTGGGATGCGCACAAACACCAGAAGGACATTTCAGGGAGGTGCAAAATGTATCCCACCATTCCTTTTAATGTCAGGGGACACCTTCGCCCCTCAGGGCATTTTGACGGAATGCAGCCAGCTATCAGACTATGTGGAACTCTCACACGAAAGGTGAGTCCTACATTTATTTTCTATTTTTTAGTAAAACGAAGCCTAAGTTCATTTAAGTTATTACAGAGCACCATAAAAATTAAATAACTTTTAATAAACATTTGAATATTTCACTTTTACTAAACAGGTACTTTCTTTTTGGATTGACATTTTAGAGTGGAGGGCACTACAGAGGGGCTGTTTTGGTGAATGGAGTATGGCATCATTATGATGGGCTGTGGGAGAGGAATTCCAGAGGGCAGAGACTGAAAAAATGCACAGGGAAGCCGTCCACTCCAAGTGGTTTCCTCCTCTCTCACTGTGTGCACATTATCGAAAAGATTTTGCATTAAAAAGTGGCCTGTATCCTTTGATCTGTTGTGAGTGTAGAATAATTTATAAAGCACAAAAACATAGATAATCAAGATTTCACTGTTCAAAAAAAGGAATATTTGTCTGAAAAAAGAACTCGTGCAGAGGATTTCACCTCAAAACAATTCCTGCACAAGCAGTGCAAGCTGACAATTCTCCACCGCCCCCGCCATCACTTTTCTAATGGTCCGTCCCTTAAATAAACAAAATTGTGTTTATCTTGTCAGTCATTTGTCAAAAAACCTTTTAACGGTATAAATTTAGCGTCGGGGTTGTTTCTCGCGTGTTGCAAAACTAGATTTGAACGAATTTGACGACTTTCACCACAGTCAATACGGATGCAACAGACGAGACAAAAATTGTCACGCCAAATTTGTCCTCATCAGTAGGATTTTGCCACGGACAACTTTCAATTTTGTCTGCTAGTGCGGATCGGCCCTATAATAGTTTAGAGCATCACTGAAGCGTTCTACTCGCAAGACAATAATAGACCGTCGATCACGACAAACATAGCTCATTGTAGAATTCACCACGGTTGCATCGGTGAATACGTGAAACCAAATAAATTCTTATTCAGCCTCAGTTTTTAAAGGTAAAACACATCATTCAAAGTCAACTTACCTTTTTAGCGTCTCAGCAATGTTGACCAATATTAGTAAGAAGGTCTAAAATGTGTTCTACGGTGAAGTTTAAATCAGAAGTACTTTGTCGTTTCCGAAACTACAGATGAGTCAGTTCGTGCACTAGGTAATTGGTACAAGTTCAGAATGGTGCCCCAATCCAATCGCTCAGTTCATAGTATGCCGAGAGCTTCTTCCATGCGAATCTTGCATTCTGCATGCAACTTGAGACAGATAAAACTATCTCTAGTTGTTGCCAATAGTCTGTGTCACGGCTCTTAGAACCGCATTAGTTTATGAAAGGGAATCAAGGTTAACGCGAATACTGATTACAAGTTTCCACGAAATTCATGCCCCTTTTGACCTTGCGAGAACAAAGCGCAAATCTTTTGATGACTTTACTCGGAAACCGTCAAATGTAAAATGTGTGATAATTTCGCATTTAGTTGAATCAGCAACTACATGAATTCATGTGGCATTTATTATTTCCACAAAAAAACCCGACAGCAACAACAACGAAAAAAGGCATTTAGTTATGGAGGACAGTCACAAGAGTAAACTGAGTAGGCCTCCACTGAATGATAGCGGAGCTCCTGCGCGCCGAAGGCGCGCGAGCGAAGCATCCATTCCTTAGAAAATTTGGTAGCCCATCAAGCCGAGTTATTGGTTTATTTGGTTATGACGTCACCGTACGAACGTCCTTCCGTCCGTACAGACTCTGGGGGATGGGGAGGTGAGTCTCAAGGTAACCCGAACGGAAAAGCTCAAGAATGCCATATTTTCTTGGCGGGGTAACGAAAACTCTTTGCTATATTGTTATGTCAACCAACGATAGCGGAGTTGATAATATAATATTGTCAAGAGAGGGTTTAACTGAGGCAGAACCTGAAAGAGACGAATCGAGAGCAAGAATTAACAGGAAAAGAAGTAGCCAGGAACATCGCGAGAAAGAGGAGGCGCGGCGAGGGCTAGAGAAAGGAGGCGAAACAGTTACTGAACAATGCCGTGAATTAGAGCGAGTCAGGGCTGAGAGAAAGGAGATGAAACAATACCGAGC